CAAAATCAGGTATCTTTTGATTCCATAGGAGGAAGAGCTGAGGGGGTTCTGGACTTGATACACAGCGACGTGTTTGGCCCCACACCTGTAGCATCACATGGAAAATCAAGGTATTATGTTTCTTTTACTGATGATTTTTCAAGATATGTGTGGTTATATTTCTTGCGCAGCAAGGATGAAGTGTTCGATAAATTCTGCGAGTTCAAGGCTTTGGTGGAAAATCAATTTGATCAAAAAATCAAGGTGTTGAGAACTGACAATGGATGGAAGTTCTGTTCAACAAAATTTGACCAGTTTTGTGTGAGCAATGGGATTGTAAGACAGAAGACTACGCCCTACTCACCTCAACAGAATGGGGTGGCAGAGAGGTTGAATCGATCTCTCATGGAGAAAGCACGGAGTATGCTGAGCGGTGCAGGCTTGGCAACTGAGTTTTGGGCAGAGGCAGTGGCTACTGCTTGTTATCTGAAGAACAGATCTCCTACATCAGCTTTGAAGGAGAAGACTCCGTATGAAGCACTGTTTAAAAAAAGGCCAGACGTATCTCATATCAGAGTGTTTGGCTGTGAAGCTTATATGCACGTACCCAAGGAGAAAAGAAACAAGCTTGACAGTAAATCTGAAAAGTGTATCTTTATTGGGTACAAGGATGGCGTCAAAGGTTATAAGTTGTGGAATCCGGATACTAGAAGTGTAACTTACAGCAGAGACGTTGTATTCAGAGAATCTAAGTTGAATCAGATTTTTCCTGAAGCTCCTGAAAAGTCACAGACGGTGGAGTTGGATGTGGGTTTGAAAGAGGATACAATAAACTCACAGATTGAATTGGAAAATTTGAATTCTGAAGCTGCTGAATATAATGAGGTAGAGGATGAATTTTCTGAAACTGAGGCTGAGGTTGAAGCACCAGTGCTGAAGAGATCCACGAGGGAAAGAAGACCATCTGAGAGGTATACACCTGAAAATTATACCCTGTGTGCTAGTGATGATGTTTGTGCATTTAGTATTACAGGTGATGATCCGAGCACTGTAAAACATGCGAGGAGCTCGGAGGATGCCAAACAGTGGGAGGAAGCTATGAAAGAAGAGATGAAGTCTCTGATGAAAAACCAAACTTGGAGTTTGGTGAATCTACCTGCAGACCGAAAAGCAATTGGTTGCAAGTGGGTGTTCAAGAAGAAGGTTGGTGCCAATGGGGAGATTGAACGCTACAAGGCTCAATTGGTTGCAAAGGGATATTCACAGACATAAGGGGTTGATTATGGTGAGGTATTTTCACCTGTTGCAAAGTTTAATTCCATAAGACTGGTTTTGTCTGTAGCAGCTGCATATGACCTAGAGGTGGAGCAGCTGGATGTGAAGACAGCTTTTCTTCATGGTGATTTGGAGGAGGTTATTTTCATGAAGCAACCAGAGGGGTTCATTGCAAGAGGCAAAGAGGAGCTAGTCTGCAAGCTGAATAAATCTCTGTATGGCCTGAAGCAGTCCCCAAGGATGTGGTACATGAAGTTCGACACTTATGTGCTGAAGCTTGGCTTTGACCGTTGTGATGCTGATCACTGTGTTTATGTGAAAAGGTTAGAAGGTGACTTTGTTATTCTAACTTTGTATGTTGACGACATGTTACTCGTTGGAAACAGTTTGACAATGATCAGCACTGTTAAAGGACTGCTAGCAAAGCAGTTTGAAATGAAAGATCTAGGCGCTGCAAATGTGATCTTGGGTATGCAGATTAAGAGGGAGCGTGACAAACGAAGATTATGGTTAAGTCAGCAGAAGTACATAGAAGATGTTCTGAAGAAATTCAAGATGACTGACTGCAAGCCTGTGTTGACTCCCATGTCTACTGGTTCTAAGTTATCGGCTGACCAGTGTCCCAAGACTGAAGAAGAAAAAGAAGAGATGGCGTCAGTTCCTTATGCTAGTGCAGTAGGGAGTCTGATGTATGCCATGATTTGTACTCGACCTGATATTGCTCAAGCAGTGGGAGTATTGAGCAGGTATATGTCCAAGCCAGGAAATGAGCATTGGACGGATGTGAAGCGTGTGTTCCGCTATCTTCGTGGTACGTCTGACCTTGGGTTATGCTATGAAGGCGTGAAGGGCTCAAGGGGACAGACATTGTTAGAGCTGAGATGCTTTGTGGATGCTGATTGGGGAGGTGACATTGATAGTAGAAGATCTACAAGTGGATATGTTGTTTCTTCATTTGGCGGAGCTATCAGTTGGATGAGTAAGAGGCAGAGCACTGTTGCTTTATCTTCTACAGAGGCTGAGTACATGGCCTTGACACATGCTGTTAAGGAAGCTATTTGGTTACGGAGGTTGTGCAAAGAGCTTGGCTTTGCACAAGGAGAGATGATCGTTGGGTGTGACAGTCAGAGCGCCATTTTCTTGGCTAAGAACCCAGGTTTCCATGCGAGGACCAAGCATATCGGCATACAGTACCACTTCATCAGAGAGAAGATTGAAGACAAGGTTGTATTGCTGGAGAAGGTTGACACAAAGGTCAACAACGCTGATTTTCTGACCAAGGCAGTGACTTCGGAGAAGTTTGAATGGTGTACAGATGCTTTGGGATTAAAGAAACATGTGAAGCATTCACCAAGTGGGAGAATGTTGGGTATGGCTCATACTTCACATGATGATGTTGGCCCTAATTGTCGGGGTCAGCATAAAGGCAACTGGGGTCCCGCTCCCAGGTGAACGGGCGGGGGTCCGGGGGGCAGCGCCCCCCGGCCCGTAGAGGCTAGGTAATGTTTAGGCCTCTGTTTCTATTGTAATTTTCTTAGCAGTTTGGGCTTGGGCCCATGAATAGCTGCTGTTAGGGTTTCTTGTAATCCTATTTATATTTGCCTTGTAAACTGAGAGACTTATAACGAGTGGCGGCGAGGTGAATATAGTACAGACAAGCTGGACGTAGCCTATATTGGGTGAACCAGGGTAAATCATCGTGTCTATCTCTCTACTCTTATCTCTTTTTCTGTTTTCTCGATTCTGTGTGATTGTCGATTTCCAACATAATTCGTAGAATTCGTGTTGAGCATTTTCAAATAAGCTTGAAAAGAGAATTCAAGAAAACTTTTTAAAAATGAATGCAAAATACAGCTAGGGCAACCACATAACAGATGAAAGAAACATTAGGGTGGTGTTTGGTTGAGAGGGTTTTCAAAGTTTCCTATGCAAATGAAGGAAGGAATCCAGAAATGACTTGTTTGGTTGAATAGATTCAATCTAAATACTCAGCTATCCTATTTGCATTGCTTTTTCCATTTGTTGGTGGAATGATAGGTTTTGTCACTGTTGAGAAAGATTTGTTGGATGTGGTTTTTGTGTGAAAACCAGCTAAATGACTATGTAGAGAAATTGATAGAGATCATTATACCCTCTCAAAAAGGAAACTTGTAGCAACAGTTATCTCTCTTGCCAAAGCATCCTCGGTTCTTGCTCTCTTCTTATCCCTTTTTGCAACAGAAATAGACACAGGAGACTTGTAGCACGACTTCTTGGGTGGCAGACTCCGCCATTGGAGCATTCTAACTTTGAAGTCTTTGGATTCAATTGTATTGTTTTGGCTAATTTAACTCTGGAATTGGATGCTTCTTGTTTCTGCAGTGCACTGTTAAAATATGAACAATACCTTGAAAACTAAAATTACAATGAGCAAAAAGAAGCCTCAAAAAGACAAAATCTCAAACATAGATTTTCGTATGTTTGAGATTTTGTAATACCAAACATACCGTAAAAAAAAAAAATTAAAATCAGGGTTATTTTCGTAATACCAACTTGTTTTCCCATCTATATTTTACCTTCAACCAAACATAGATTTCATAAAAGTTACCTAATTTTTCCAGTTAAGTTTTTCCCCACCAAACAACTTTTTTTTACATTTATCTACCTATCTCACTTTTCAACTATTTCTCTATCAATTACATTTTTCTAGTATTCAAAAAATTTATCCTCAACCAAACGTCCCCTAGAAGAATAAAAGAAAAGTTAACAACCAATTGGTGTAGGCATGCTCATTAAACAATAGGAATATTGTTTCTCATATTATATAATATAATTTATCTCATATAACATACAAACAAGTGGGTGAGATCTATTTATTATCTTTTTCTCTGTTTTTTTAAGTAGATCTTATCTATTTTTTTGTGTCTTACATAACACAATTTGTCTTATCCAATATATGAAAAACAATATCTCTTGAACAATATAGCAATACCTTCAACTCTTATATTGAAGAAGCAATGGACATTTTAATTATTACTGTTATGCAGATGACTAGAAGGCTGTTTAATGAAAAGTTTCACGACAATAATGATGGAATGACTACACACATACATAGATAAATAAAGAGTGAGCAGTGACATTGATACATTCACGTCAATTGTATCAAGTGGACGACACATAACTTTTGTTCAGACAAACAGGGTGCATTAGTCATCATAATCCGATTAGAAGTAAAAGATACGTTAATTGACAAAAAGTTTATATTAAACAAAATTTTAATAGTATATTAACCAAACGATTTAAAATTTCTCATATTGTAATTATTTCTTACAAATATGTGGGGCTCAATTTATTTTTCTTTCTTTTTTCATATGATCTTAATGGCCCTATATATTTTTACATGTGTAGAAAATAGCATGAAAATTTTTAAAAGCTTAAATTAAAATTAGGAAGGAGACAACTATTAAATCTAAACAAGATCATATCTACTAAAAAAATAGAGAAAATATTAAAAGGGGTTGATTTAAATAATATATACTTAATTTCATTTAAGCAAAATTTTGAATTTAAGTACTTGTAAATAAAAAAAATTCTTTGAAATAGCTAATCCATATGAATATTCCCGCTCGAACAGATTTAGTTGAGAATATATGTGGTTTATAAAAAAACAGGTAAAATAGGGAGGGGAGAAAAAACAAAGTAGTATAGTAGTATCGCATCACAATTCGCCGCAGAAAAAATTAAAAAAAGTAAAGAAAAGACATAAACGATTACTTCCTGTAACCTGTTCCACTTCCTCTGTAAAACCCTAATTTTTCGATTCTTTTTTATGTTTCTCTCTCTAAAACCCAACTTTCTCTCTCATCAACAACAAATCTCGATCCCTCTCACTCCGATTCATTGCCCAAATCACACATCCACTTCCAATTGCTCCTCACGACGTAACCTTCTGAAGCCCCTCACTGCTATTGCAAGATCCGCTGGTGGCTCCGATTGCGCAGTGAGTGATTTTCGACTAGGGTTTCGCTTTGGGTCCGTTAAGGCTGGCGGGTATTCGGGTCAAGTAAATGGCGGATACGGTTGGTATCCGCCTCCGCAACTGCTACAAGTGTGGTGTTACTACAACAGTTCCGGGAGCCAGCGGAGTCGTTGGTTCACGTTTTCGATTGGTGGCGTCGTTGATAGGTTTACAGTGCGGTGACGATAGCGAAGAGTGAAGCATGCTGAGCGTGCTGCGAGTGCACCTCCCTTCTGATATTCCAATTGTAGGCTGTGAGCTCACGCCTTATGTGCTCCTATGCCGACCCGACAAGACCGTTACCACCGACGATGTCCCCGAGACAGCCCCTTTAGACGGCCATTTCTTGCGCTACAAGTGGTGAGTGCTGTTTAATTCGTTTACCTTTTAATTTGTCTTTTTCTTTGCTCTAGTCATTTATTTTTTGATGAAATTGGATAGTTATTTAAGTGATGTTTAAATAGTTCTATTAAATTTGTATCTTTTTTCTTTCCGTGTTATTTATGTTGTTTGCACTAAAGGTTAAAAAACGGATAGGATTAAAGCTCTTTCAACACACTGTGAAATGTGAATTGACTTGATCGAAGTGAATGATGTATTAAGTGATAAGAGAATGTGGTGTTTCATTACCTAAAAAATTTCTTCCGATTGTCCTGTGGTGGTCACTAGGCGTACAATGATTATAGAATGTGGACAAATACCTGTGCATTCTATAATTTGTTTCCCTCTACTTTACTTTTATTTTCTTTTAAAATTATTTTGCATATTCATTATTGCTAATTCATGTGATTATTCAAATATTGCCATGCTAGTACTGCACTAGTGCACTGCATTAGGCAGTGACTTGTGGCTTGTTTATCTCCCCTTTCATGTCCTAGTCTTCAACATAGCAGTATCAACTTTCACAAGTTTTCATTCGTATATATGGAAATTCAAGTTTGTAACGTTATAATATATTCTCATTTCTCAATAAATCACATGACATTTAATTTTTGTGCATAGGCTCCAAATGCAGGATATGGGATTTCTTTTCCATTAATATCTTTGTGGGAAGGGAGATTTAAAATTTATATGTGAGATTAGTCATGACTTCACAATTCTTTTTTCATGAGTGTATTTAATAGTAAAGATAGCATATAGGTTCTAACTATGCCAAAAAAGCTCAACAAAGATCATAGATCACCTGTTAGTGAAGGCACATTATCTCGATTGGTGTCCTGTGCTGATCAACGGACATATTCTTATGTATTTAGTCTAGTTATATTGTTAGTGTAAATTTATATGGGATATGCTTTGCATGTAATTCATGATTCTGCATGATATGCTATGTGTTATCAGTTTTTTCACCTCTTTTGTGAAATTTTGACATTGATAGAATTATTGAAGATTATGCCCTTATTGCCCTAAATTTGGACATATTTAATAGTCTCACAAAGATGATTACTTAAATAGTTGATTGTGATATGATAATTTTGATTATGTTAAACATGAATTTGATCCCAGGTATACTGTGTTTATGTACTTTTTCTATTGAGCTGATCTAAAACTTGAGCTTTTTGCATCTATTGTTTGACACTATGATTTGGTCCTCCTCTTTTGCAGGTATCGTGTACAGAGTGATAAAAAGGTTGCTGTTTGTAGTGTACATCCATCTGAGCAGGCCACACTGCAGTGCCTAGGTTGTGTTAAGGCTAGAATTCCTGTTGCCAAAAGCTACCATTGCACTTCAAAGTGTTTTTCTGATGCATGGCAACATCATCGTGTCTTACATGACCGTGCTGCAAGTGCAGTTAATGAAAATGGAAATGAGGAGGAGGAGTTGTTTGGGCGATTCAATAATTCTGGGTCTGGGTCAATCAATACCAGCTTATCTGCCTCTGCATCAAGTGCTAGCTTGACAAATGGGTCTGCACCTGTGTATCCAGCAACTGTTTCACGAAGTGGTGGTGAAACTTGGTTTGAAGTTGGACGATCAAAGACATATACCCCAACAGCTGATGACATTGGTCATGTCCTTAAATTTGAGTGTGTTGTGGTTGACGCAGAGACAAAACTTACTGTGGGGCATGGGAACACTATACTAACTTCTCGCGTCATTCCTGCTCCCTCGCCTATCCCGCGACGACTGATACCTGTTGACGGGATGGGGCATTTAGATGCAGATGGGCGTATAACATCGTCGGGAACTTTTACTGTTCTATCATACAACATATTGTCTGATGCATGTGCATCAAATGATCTATACAACTACTGCCCTTCTTGGGCGCTTTCCTGGCCATATCGCAGGCAAAATTTGTTACGGGAAATAGTTGGTTACCGTGCTGATATTATTTGCCTTCAGGAGGTACATAAATGTGCTTTTGGCTATGATTGTGGTGGTTGAGAAATTCAATTTAATAACTGTGCTGATCTTCAACTCATCTTTTTTTCAAGATTTTTTTTAGATACCTGTTGAACAAAAAAATCATTTATTCAACTGCCCTAAAGTCACATTTAATGTTCAAGCATATTTTTTTAATAAAATCTTGATCATGGACTTGAGGGCACAAAGCTATGCTACTACTGATAGCACATTCTAATATATATATATATTTTTTAACTTGAAGTGCTAGCAGTTGTAAATGATTTAATATCCTCTTATGAATTGCTTAAATAAATGTTACCTTCATTTCTATGCTATTATATGGGTGGATTTTTTCTTTCTTTTTTTTCGGTGGGAGGGGTTTGATGGTGGACTGTACCTTAGTCATTTTAAGTTGGAATCTGTATCTTTTCCACTGACCTAAATCAATCTGATAGAAACATATGATCGAATTCTAATTATTTCTCTATCAGATAACAAGCAATCTGTTTCGCCCCAGGTTCAAAGTGATCATTATGAAGAATTTTTTGCTCCTGAACTGGACAAACATGGCTATTATGGTCTTTACAAGAGGAAAACAAATGAGGTTGTTATGGAATTCTGATTTCTTATGGTCTTAAACTCATAATTTTAAATTTCTTTTTTATCTTAACCTGTTTGTGGTGGGTTCTCAGGTATACAACGGCAACATTAATACAATTGATGGCTGTGCAACATTTTTCCGTAGAGATAGATTTTCACATGTGAAGAAATATGAGGTCCGAATTGTTTTATTATGTGTATGGTAGCTCTCTTAAGTTTGTACACAACTTAAAATGATATCTGCTTGCATGCAGGTTGAATTTAATAAGGCTGCACAGTCCTTAACAGATGCTATGATTCCAACCACTCAGAAGAAAACTGCCTTGAATCGGCTGGTTAAGGTGGCTTATTGCACCAGAGATTACATATTACTTATGCTTTTTGAAAAAAATAAAAAATAAATGTTTCTCGTATGGAACCAGTGCTTACCAAGTTTTCTTTATCTTCTTAGGATAATGTTGCACTAATAGTGGTTCTAGAAGCAAAAGTTAACAATCAGCCTGTTGATAATCCAGGGAAAAGACAGCTTCTTTGTGTGGTAAGCTCTTTTATTTGTTACTCTTGTGTGTTCATGCCTTTAAGGTCCATCATGTGTATTTCATTTCTACATTGTGTATGCCCTTTACTTGCTGTTGCCCATTTCCCTGACTGTAGTTGCATTATCTGTTGAATGATAGGGCCTTCTCTAGCATCGTGCTTCATGGATGCTCATTTCTTAGTTGTGCATTGTTATTAAGGGTGGTCATTTCCTGATATCTTTTGAAGGCTTGTTTTTCTTAAGCAGCTATAGGTTTTGAAATTTTTCCATGGTGACTATCCTTCCTTTAATATTTTACTGATGGTGGTTGGTCTGGTATAAGGACTCTGTTTACTGCAGATCCTGAGGTTTTTGCTTTTTTCATAAATTAATTATAAAATCTCAAACAGAAAGGACCAAACTAGATGTATGATTTCAAATGTTTTTAAAAAATCATTATTTGGATCTTCCTCTAAGGAAGATATTATATTTCTCCCCTCTCCTTGCCTTGTTCTTTTGTTGGTTTATGTTAAAACTACATTTTTTTTAGTAAATAAAACTACTTTTTTAGTAATATAATATCTATTACTAACTCTTATATTGCTTGTGGACTTTAGGCAAATACCCATGTAAATGTCTACCATGATCTAAAGGATGTGAAACTCTGGCAGGTAAGTCATTCCTTTTGCTTGTTCATATTCAACATTGTGTTTGTTCTGAACATGATAGTTATAAATTTTCTCCCCCTTTTCAGGTTCACACTCTCTTAAAAGGATTGGAGAAAATTGCTGCAAGTGCGGACATTCCAATGTTGGTTTGTGGAGACTTCAATTCAGTTCCGGGAAGGTTTGAATACTTATCTTTCTGTTTGTTTTTGGATACTTTTGAGCGGCAAGGGTCTTTTATTAGTAACAGTAATTTGTATCTAAGGGCTATATTCATACTTTGTTGTAGTGCTCCTCATGCGCTTCTTGCAATGGGGAAGGTGGATCCCTCACATCCTGATTTAGCAGTTGATCCCCTTAATATATTGCGTCCTCACAGCAAGTTGGTTCACCAGTTGCCACTGGTAATGTATTCATTGAGTGCAACCCTTAAAGGAATAGCATATATAATATATGTACTTTCTCTGGTTCTTCCACTTTAGTTCTGTATTTTTTCCCTTAATTTTTGTTCCTGATTTTGATTTTATTGGTTGTGGGTTACTTTCAATTTTAGGTCAGTGCATATTCGTCTTTTGCAAGAACAGTTGGTCTTGGATTTGAGCAACATAAACGGAGACTGGACAGCACCACAAATGAACCTTTTTTCACAAATGTCACTAGAGATTTTATTGGCTCTCTTGATTACATATTTTACACAGGTGAACTATCTTGCAAGTTATCTCATTAGATAAAGTCAACATCCTGGGGACTTATTTATGAAATGATATTGTTTGTGGTTTCAGCGGATTCATTGGTTGTGGAATCATTATTGGAGCTATTGGATGAGGAGAGTTTGAGGAAAGATACAGCGCTTCCTTCTCCTGAATGGTCCTCAGACCATATAGCTCTCTTAGCTGAGTTTCGCTGCTGCAAAAATAGATCTAGGCGTTGAGTTGTAAGGTACCGTCATTTCTCCCCTGTCCCTTATCCATCATTCTCGTGTTTGTCTTCTTATTTTATGTTTGATTTTGCTATGGTGGCTGAAAGGTCAATTTCTCATTCTCTTCACTTACCGAGTTACCATCTCTTCTAGAAGGCCTAGCATCTTTAAGTAATGTAAAACCTATTGCCAACATATCATAACTATAGTATGAAGCTGGTCACTGGACATGATTCGACTGCTACCATCTATCTCTCCTTAATGTACTTATTAAATTTTTTGTGCCATTAAACAGTCTATAGAATGTAGATAACCAGTAAATGAGAAGGCATAAACTATTTCATAGATTCTTATACCTAACTAGCTCAATGCCGAAAGCAATGATAGTGCGATAATGAAATGTTAGCACATTAATCTTTGTACTAGACATTTCCAGTCTTCCATTAGTTACAAGACTATTGATTACTTAGAAGAGTCACATCACGAATGTGAACAACCTTACTAACATTAAAGGTTTCACTGCAACCTGCTTCGATGTTGAGGTTTCAAACAAAGCATAAAGAGCAACTTCTATTGGTGTAATATTGGTAACAAGCCTCAGAGGGATGCTCATCTTTACTAGCAGAGAGGTAGAGAAGTGGCAATTTTGGAAGGAGAAAGCAATTTTGACAATTTATGTCAATTGGTTTTAAATAAAATTATTTTTTCCATAGAAAATGAATACTGCAATAGATAATGTAAAACCATGGTGCAATATGCCTGATTCTATAAATTAAGGTGGAAAGTGTAACGAGAATAATCAGTCATGGTGTTAAAATATGCATTTAACACTAAAATATATTTTCTCATAATAAAACATTACAAGCATACACATTAGTATTTTAAAGTCGAATATCTCACTATGTAACTAACAATCTGTAATATACCTCAAGATAAATCAAGATTCAAGTCGTAAAGCCCACATAACAAAGCAGCACGCCCACAAATTGCAGCAAAAGAGTGGACCGACACAATGGAAGGCAGCGGATCAGCAGACCACGGGAATAAGATTGTATTTCCTAATTAGGGAGGCAGACCAAAAGCTACGGCAGTTCCCTCCTCTTTCATTAAAAAGAAAATGCGAAATATGATTAAAAAAATAGGAGTTTTAGGTTTGGGCTTCCTTTATAGGTATGCAGGCTAAAAGCTTGGAATTTTCCCTCAATTTTCAGAAAACAATTAAAAAAAAAGTGGAAGAAGGGTTTTCAAAATTGGGTCTAGCAGTATCTGACCCGAGTAGAAGGCAGTACTCATATTTGCAGAATCACCAGGCATCACATATGAAATGCAACTCCTGCACTATTCAGGTGCGATTCTGGCCCCAAAACAATTCACTCTGCAATATGTATCAACAGCTTGCTGAATTGGATCGTATTGCATTCATGCAATTCCAGCTACCATGCTGTTACATAGTCTGGAAATTTGTAATTGAGAAATGATTTTGAAGTCTTCGTATTCCTTGAACATTCTTTGGAGTTGGTTTAACTGAGGCTAGGTATTATTGGTGAATAAGATTTATTAGGGGAAAATGGGCTAAATTGATAAGGATTGTGGTGTCCAAAGCGGGATATTAAAGATGGTGGAAGTACGTAAAGTGGGGTCTTCAATAGTTTTGATTTAGGAATCATGTTACTGGTCCTAAGAATTTCGAACTATGCATTTATTAACTAAGTAATAATGCAGGGTATCTGATTCTTTAGAATGTTGTTTCTGCTGTGGTGTTGAGAACTTTCCAATGTCAAGCAGCCTTCGAAGTTTTTCCTTCCATTTTGTTGACCTTGGGAAATTAAATATGAGCAATGGGCTGATAATCTCTTATGCGGAGGTTGAATGACATGAGTAGTGGATGGAAAATTTCATGACGTGAAGAAGGATATGCCCTTTCGTCCGTCTTTGTCTTAGATTATTTACACCAGTGTGGTGAAAGTTTTACTATTTTTTACAGTTTCAACAGAAGTAGTGTTTGTTCAATTTTTTGTGTCTGCTTCCAACGTCTGATACTTTTTGCTCCAGTACCACATTGGATAGAGTTTGAGTCGGTGTTTTTTGGTACATGCCTAACGACAAGATGCTTTAGTTCTTTATTAATGATGGTTCTCGATTTTTTGTAGGTTAGATCCAGAGACACTTGAAGAAAAAGGATGAAAGAAGCATTTGGTTGATAAGTTGTTGTAAGAGTGGTAGATGTCTTTTTCCCAGGTATCTCCATGTGGAGGGGAGGTCCTTGCAATGATCTGCTTTGTATTATGCCACCTTTTGTCTCATAGATAAAGTATGATTATGCCTTACTGATTTGCCTCTTCGCCCAACTCCTCCCCAATCTTTTTCCTTATAAAGTGAAATTTTCGTCTTACATTTCCACTGGATAAATACATGTAGAGCAATTAACTAATCATCATATTCTCAAGCCCTTCCAATATAGTGGCTCATGAGCCTGTGGCCTTAATATGTCCCACTACTGTAGTTATAATCTTCACAATTTAGGTTATTTTGTATTTGGTACGGTCACCAGAAAGTTTACAAATGTGAATGGCATATTGATTAAAAAAAAAAGCATGAGAATACTAACAATACGGGGTAGTTTTAATATGGGCATGAGGTCTGAAATGTAGCTGCATCCGTAGCAATTTACGAAGATATTCTCACCGTTAATGCATTGTTATAAAGGACATGACAAGTCGAATACTTGTTTTTTCTGCCCTACCTCTTAAATGTTGACATTAATAGTAAATAAAAGTACATTCCATCTTTTGTAATAATATAATCTGCATGTTTTCCCAGAAGAGTGTGATAGGAATGCATTTTTTATAATTTTTTGGGCAGAATACTTTGTTGGGATTATATATAAAATTTAATTTTAATGCCCTGATAGTATAATTTTTTTCATTTTGTTATTTAATCATATGTTGATATATTATTAAAGATGTTTGACCATCATAATAACTACCAGGAAGTGTAAATTTTTTAAATACGTGGCACCCATCATTTGAAGTGCATTGTTATACATTAATTCTATTGAAAGTCGCATATATATGTTTATATCCTCATTCTGCTGTAATTTTGGGATGTCTTAATTTATAACCTTACGGGCGCGTTTGGTAGAGGATATATGAGTTTGTTTTTTCTAAAGTTACTTTAGATAATTTTATCTAATGTTCATCGAAACGACGTCGTTTTGGGACGGAAATTATGGTGTTTTTGTAATCTTAATTTATTTCAGGGTTATAATAGTCTTTCTCATTTTAATTTTATAATTTTTTAACTCCAAAACGTCGTTTCGATGAACATCAGATAAAGTTATTTAAAGTAATATTAGATACAGTTTTCCAGTATATAATTAATTTTACGTGAAATTTTATTTTTTTCGAGAATAGTGGAATTTTTTTTTTGCCGGGTAGGTTGTGAAAAGATGTTTGGTAAGTCCAATTTTTTTTCAAAAATGTTGAGTTAATTATATTAATTTCCTACAAAAATAAAAATATCATGTATTAAATGATATTTTTGTTTGAGATTCTGTAGTTAAAATTGAAATGATAGAAAAAGAAATTTCCCGAGTATTTTTAGTTTTCTCATATTAAACATTGAATTTTTTTTGCCTCACCATACTTTTTTAAGATTTCTAAAACAATCTGCATACCTCTATAGGTAAAAGGGTCATTGTCATCTAGTTATCACTCGATTAAAATTTCTCCGGATAAGGAATATCTGATTCAAACTCGAAAAAATAAACAGTTTGAATCAGTTTGGGAGTGAGGAAACTTGTAAGAACAAACAATGTTAATGTTAAACAAAATCAGCAATATGATGTATTGTTAAGTTATCTAGTTTTGGCTATCGTTCTATTTAACTTATTAAAAATATAAAAATAAAACAGGTTCAGGATGGGAGAGGTGAGAGTAGATAAAATGGAACGAAAGCGGTTTAAATTTTGATGACGATATATTTCGAACGAGGCAGAATACTTTGACACTGGTGTTCAATTTAAAGTTTGACACCTCATTTGAGAGCCGTTAGATCAAAGAAGATCAACGACTCTGATTTGTAAGCATGTGATACCATTGATCTTTTTTGATCTAACGACTCTCAAATGAGGTGTCAAACTTTAAATTTGACACCGCTGTCAAAGGATCCTACCTCATTTCAAACTGATCAGGTGAGAGAGTAACAACTTAATAATTTATATTTTCCCGATACCATAGATTTTGCCAAAGGAAACATGGAAAATCGAGCACTTTTCACATTAACAAAAAAAAAATAGAAATGGTCGTTCGTAGTTAATATTTCATTAAAATGCATCGAACTCAACCTCTGCACACTGGATAGACCTCCTTTTTTTGTTTTTTGTTTTTAGCAGATTCCATATTTTACTGTGCTACCCAGAAAAGGGTGGTTCGTATGTCATTCCAGAATTTTGTTTTTCTAGATATATATCCGTGACCATTTGGAGTTACATTAGAAATTCAACAATTTTTTTTTCCCCATATAAAGCACGTTTAAAGATCAGAAACACAAAGAGAGAACAATATACATAAACTACATCACCAAGAATATATTAGTCTCACAATGAGGTTACAAAAGATGCAAACAAACTGAAAAAAAAAATATAGATATAATAAAAATGAATAGGGAGAGAAGAATAAAAAGTTTGCCTGGATTTTCCCCTGTATGCCAAGATACTATTTTAGGCTGTCTTCACTTAGTCTCAATCATCTGATCTCAGTGCATCCTCTCCTTTGTAATTCAAGCGCTGTTCTTGCTTGCTATAGCAATGTAGCTTTCAGCTATATATATATATATATAGTGAAGCCAGTAAAAGAAGTAAATCTAGCTGGTAAACATTCGCGGATGTTTGTCCTATATTTCTAAACAGTTTGGTGGGACATAAACCAACTAATCAACTGTTACTGAGACAAGACATGACTATTTATGAGATGCATACTGAGGCACTAGATCTCTTACCATGTCTGTATATATTTAGAACTCGCACAGGTCACTGCATCCTTGCAGACACCAAATTAACTCCATACGGACAAAAAGAGATATCTGAGAGAATCTCATCCTCAAAAATTAGCTCACGAGATAAGAGAGATCCAAGTAAATCCCACGTTAGTTACCCATATAATGAATGCGGAACTCAATTTTATACCTTGCAATTAGATCGCAAGATTATCTCAGTCTATATTATTAGGGGAGGAGACGAAAAATGGGGTGAACAAATTTTCCGTTCAAGTATTTTATATGTATATATGAATGGATTTGGATTCTCTTATATGTAAGAGTAGTAGTAGTAATATGTTATTTAATCACAACCACTCATTTAAAAATTATATATATATTTTTCTTTTATCTCATTATCAATAAATGATTGTGATCAAATATACGTCACTATTTTTACACATAAGAGTAGTTTTCAGAAGAATGAATGACTTTTATGTGTACGTTAATTTCAGTGCGTAAGTGCATTGATATAGATATCAGTAAAACAGTAATGGGATAACAATAAGCCAACACGACCACCACTGTTGTCTAGTCATTTCGAACAGGGGACTTGTAAATGATACTTTAGGTATACACCACAAACAGAGAAACGGGAAACAAATATCCTGTTTGAATATTTATTCTAAAACAGTTTTTTTTATCTTCAGAAAAAAAAAATCTGTTTGAAAAAATTTGTATTGTAAAATAAAAATAAAAATTATAACTATTTTTTTATTTTAGAATCAAATTTAAAAAATATGTTTTAGTTGTTTTTATTTTATGTTTTGATTTTTAACTTTCAAAACAAAACAAAAAACATAAAAATACTTATTTTCATAATTGTTTTTCAAAACAGTTTTTCTTTTTTAAAAAAAAAAAAAAAAAAATACAATCAAACAGACCGCTTTTTTAATTTCTTCTTTGAATTGTGAGAGGTTCTAAGATACTGAGTGACCCCAGGCCAGATAACATCTTTTGTCACTCACTTGTCAACAGAATGATCAAATGATGTTTGAGTAGTGAAAAAAAAAAGGATGCTATGTCAGATGTTGGCGTGTGTTATTTTCGTTTGTACCATTTCAGGGACAACCAAGTCGTCGCCACATACTGAGCTGACGGAGGTTCGATTAGTTTTAATATATCAAACCAGAAAAGTGGTTTGATTCGGGTAAATAAGAATTGATTTTAAAAGTGGTTAAATTCTTGAATTGATTAGGAAAAAAAGTTTCTATTCTTTAAATTGGTTTTGGAAAGATGTGGTGCAATTCAATTTAATTCTTAGTTTGTTTTGGTCTATTTGATTTTTTTCATACTCATAAGAATAGGTATATTTCCTATTCTATTTATTTATTTTTATTATTTATTTTAATTTTTTTATATCTTTTATTTGAGTTCATCTATCACCGACCTCAATTAATTTGGAATAAGAATGTTGTTGATGTATAAAAATAGGTATAGTTCGATTCTATTCAGTTCAACTTTTAGCTAGAACCAGACCACATTAATGGAGTGGTTCGGTTCTTGAATGGAATCGATTTTGAAAAAACATTTGGTTCTCGAACTGACCTAAAGAAATTGGTTTGAATCTTGAACTGATTAAAAAAAATAAAATTCTTTTTATGCGTGTTGAATAGATTCACGATCAACTTCTATTCATTTTTACTTTTATTTTTTTAACACCCATGTGAAACGAGAAAAGAGAATTACAAGCATACTCGATGATGGAATCAAAACAAAAGGAAATGTTCATTGAGAATAAAGTAAACAAAAAGTGTCTATTGATGGGCCGATCCGGGCCAGGCCCATTACATATGTTGACGTTATTGAAAAAACATGAAGAAGGGTTCTGTTTTGTAAATTCCCCTTTTTTTTTTTGTTTAGTTTGGGTTGAAAGATGAACAAAAATGGTGTGTTTACCATTTCCTTAACCTTGGTGAAGCTCCAATTCCAATGGCGGGGCATAGCGAAAGTGCGTTTGAAGTGGGTGAAAAACCGAAGCCTGGACCACATTATCGACAAGGAAACCGATCTGAAGGCCGCTTCGCTTATCAAGGACGCCATCAAGCGCTCCTCCACCGGCTTCCTCACCGCCAAATCCGTCTCCGATTGGCAAAAACCGTTGGGACTCACCGTCCCCGTCCTCCGCTTCATGCGGCGGTACCCAACTCTGTTCGACGAGTTCCCTCACCCTCGCTGGCCCAGCGTCCCGTGTTTTCGTTTAACCGACACGGCACTGCTATTGGACTCTCAAGAACAGAGCATCCACCATAATCACGAGACTGCCACTGTCGAGAGGCTCTGCAAGTTGCTAATGATGATGAAGACTCGAACGATGCCGTTTCAGTCCCTTATTCCTCTCAAATGGGACCTCGGTTTGCCTGATTCTTTTGACAAAACCCTAGTTCCCAAATACCCTCAGTATTTCCAATTCGCCAAGGCCTCAAATGGGGTTCCCATTCTTCGGTTAGCGCGTTGGAGTGAGGAATTCGCGGTTTCAGCGTTGCAGAAGAGCAATGAAAGTGGTAATGGGAATGAGTACAGGGAGTTCAAGAGAGGACAAACAGCGTTGGTTTTCCCAATGAGGTTTCCGAGGGGTTATGGAGCACAGAAAAAGGTTAGGGCTTGGATGGATGAGTTTCAGAAATTGCCTTATATTTCTCCTTATGTGGATTCTATGAAGATTGATCCTAATAGTGATTTGATGGAGAAGCGTGTTGTTGGGGTTCTACATGAGTTTTTGAGTTTGACTCTGCATAAGAAAACCAAGAGAAACTACTTGAGAAGCTTGAGGGATGAGTTGAATCTTCCACATAAATTTACCCGGATTTTCACCAGATACCCAGGCATATTTTACCTCTCGTTGAAGTGTAAAACAACTACTGTTACTCTTAGAGAAGGGTATCGGAGTGGAAAACTAGTGGACCCTCATCCTCTTGCTCGACATAGAGAGAAGTTTTACCATGTTATGAAGACGGGTCTTCTTTATCGTGGTACTGGCGCAATTTTGAAACCTGAGGAGGAAGACGCTTTACTTCTTGATGCTGTGCCAAATGATGAAATAAAGAAGGATGACTCTGAGGAGGAAGAGGTTGAAACAAGTGATGAGTTCTTTGAGGATGAAGTTTCAGAGACGGATGAAACAAGTGAATAAGTTTTGGATGCAGAATTGTATTATTTCGTATGACACAAGCAACAGGATAACCACTTTTAAAAGGTTAGTAGCTCTTTTTCAAACTTGTAAACTAGCTTTGATGGTTCTCTTATTAAGTGTCAAAGTAGAACGAATCTGCATTGGGTATATTATTTGATTTGTCTTGCTGCTGGAACCATGAAGCATTCTTATTTTTTGCTATTTACACTTTCATTTTGAGTATTATAGGGTATAGTGGATTCAGGGAATGCTTATTGTTATCAGTATAAAAAATTGAGTGGTGAACTCATGCTTTGAATCTTGTAAAAATGTACTTAAAGTACGTTTGTGTAGGGAAGTCCCATTTTGCTTTCTTACAATGTTAAAGAGGTAGGGCATATTTGGTGTACAGAGATTCTGTGAAGCAAGACAATGGTTTGCATTTGTTTGTCTGCTTTAGGATGATAAATAATTGGATATTTGATACTAATGTCAGTAAGAGTGAATTCCTCTCTTTGGCATTTCCTTATTTTTAAATTAAAAAAGCAGCATATGCACTACGTTTCTGCTTTACTCTAGCTTGCTTTACTGTTAGATTTCCTTTATGATGGAGAAGTACGGCTTTGGATGATTGCAAACAACTAGGATCCACATACCGTTATTCTTATTGTTGAATAATAGCCAGCATCCATATAATTGTCTGCTACTTTCCTTTTTGTAAATATACACTGCTGCTATGGGGAAAAAAAAAGAAAGGTTATGCTGCAGATGATTACATTACTGCATGAGGTATCATTAAAATAAATACTAATAACAGGAACTTCTGTCTGAGTGAAGGTTGGCTGGAATACCATAGAAGGGGAATGAAGATCATTTTAAGCTAGAGAATTATTCCGTGATGCCGAGTGGACGGCATTAATTTATCTTGTTCGAGGCCAGCTTGCTGAGGCTATTGAACATGCTGGAGATCACTGAAACAACTCAAGCATGAATGGTTCAGACGATATTTGTCAACTGTATCATCTGATCACGTATTGGTCATCTTTATTTTTTGCCACCCTCTTTAGTGAGCTTTCCAAATTGCAGCAGCAATAACCTTTATGGTCGAAAGCTAGGCTACGGTTAAATAGAATCCAAAGGGGAAGTTTAATATTTGGGGGATAAATACATTATTTAATCTTTATTTATAACACATCTGATTTTCTTACTTTGTTGTTTTTTATGAAAATTTGTGTAGGGCCGATTCATAAAGAATAAAAGTTATGTTTTATTTTTCAAGAAAAATGAATGTTGAGAGAGTAATAACAGTGCATAATGCAAAATATGCATAAGTAATTTTTCAAACAGAAAAGTGTTGGACCTGTCGGTGTAATAACACTAACGTAATATATGTTCAAAGAAATTATACCATATTTTTGGAAGTATATGAAGTTTCCGAATTGATATGTCATACTTGATAGTTGATACTCCCTTAAGAAAAAATCAGAAGAAAAAGGCTCATTGGAAGCACCGTATATATATTTTTTATCTTAGGCATTCTCTGTAAGTCTATGGGAAATTTGTGCCACACTAGCTTGTCTCGTTCCACTGAATTTGAATCACTTAATCAGTGACTTGAGGATGGGAAATTACTCATTTTATGTTATGTTCAACTGTATACATTGAGATTTGAATCTTTTGATAGTCTTAAGTTATTTTCTTACTAAATTCATACGGAACTATTTACCGTTGAATTAAGATCACTTGTCAAGGTCTTGAATCTAGAGTTGGAGAAAAAAAATCACTAAAATTTCGTACAAAACATACAAAATGTAAAATAAGAGACACAATTTTTACTGTCTAAACCGTTTAAAATACTCTTCCTCTTCCGTTTAGAATTAGTGAACAGGATTTACAACAGTTGATTAATTGTACCATTATCAATCACTTGCATTGGGCTGAAGACTCTAAATCGGGATTGGGAATGGGAATCCATTAATGGGTACAGTCATTTGGGGAGTGAGTCTAAGAAATTGGAGGCGTGGCCCAACTAACTGGGGAAATGAACTGAAAATTGAAATGAGGAAGGAAGGGAGGTAGATCGCCTATAATTTGTTTAATGTCAAAAGAAATTAAAATAATTTAATTTTAACTTATTATCATTAAAAATATTTAAATACTAAACTTCTGTCCCTTAATTTATTTATGTTAATTTGGTACTTAATTATTTTACTGGCTGTAAATTTATCATTTAACTAAAAAAATAAGTATACAATTTTTAAAGACTACTTATGTTAATAATGTTAATTAAATAATCACACCTAAGTAACAAAAACGCTGTCAAATACGTCAAGTCACCTTATCTCCTACACAAATAATTTCAAAATAAGTCCCATTATTTTTTCTCTTTCTTTCTATGAAAGTGAACTCCATATGCACAAATGAATCTGTAGAATATAATAATTATCTTATATTGTATAAGAAAATTATTACTCATTATAAAAATAAAATAAATATAATAATAAAGATTGACATGTGACAACTTATCAGTTTAACCAAATTACAATATATTTATTCTGGTCTGATCAGATTGTGTTGTCTAACTAGTTCAAATGACTGCTCGGCATGTCCATCTTAATCTTACACGTGTCCCTTCACACTTCCCACACATGTATGACTTTGTAACACTTAGTGAGGCCCACGTGATTAAAAATGGCTATCGCATCATGTTTTGAGCATTTGAGAAAAAATTTAACCTCTTTATAAAAAGATCCCAACTCCTTCGCTATTCATCTTCTCTATTAATTCACTTTCTATTGCTGTTACTTTGCTCAATTCTCACATCAACGATAACAATGACATTCAACACCTTCCATTTTGCGCCCTCAGCTCCACCGAGGCTAATACTGAAATAATTCGGAGCATTAATTCATACCAGTGTCTCTCTCATCTCCCTCAAATTGATAATTTGATATACTTCAACTTTTTGAGACACAAATTCATACCTTCATATTCTGATTCATTTTGATATCGATTAGGAATGCAAGTGCAAGAGATTTTCTTTTTATAGTACACGGAGAATTGTAGTCCATATGTGAAAGTTAATATATTACATCAACATCAGAATATCTAAAAAAATTAAACTCATTTCGGCTTTAAAGCTTATTATAAAATAAGCATTAAAAAGAAAGAGTAAATATATTTTTCGATGCTCAGCAAATTTTAGGATATCCACTTTAGTTCCTAACAAATAAAATAACTATTCGTGGTCCCTAAAAAATTTAAAATAGATCCATTTTAATCCTTTTGAGGGACTAATGTGGTTCTTCTTTGAATTTGTGAGGGATCACGATTTCAACTAAATGAGTCCATTTTAAATTTCTTATGAATCATAAATAGTCTTTTTATTTACTAAGAACTAAAGCGAATATCGTAAAATTTGCTAACAGCAAAGAAGAGTATTTAATCAAAAGAAATATTTTCAAAGTACGTGTTTATATCATGAAAGAGAAAAAATATTTTCATGAAAGAGAAAAAATAAATAAACGAAGGATGAAAACAATAAAAATGAATACGATGATTCAATCAGATTGTAATCAATAATACTTGCCTCGAGTAAAGAGACACATAACATCAACATTAATATTAACATCATCAAATAACATTATAAAAAAATCAAAGACAGGAATGGTCACATCAACGGGAAAATTTCTTTAATGTCATGTCGATATATCTTTCGTTCATAATATAATATATATATTTTTATTTTTATCAAATCACTCTCTCACTTAATTTTAAAATATATTTTTTTATTAAAAATTTAATAAAAATAAAACACATATCATATTGTAAGTGAAAAATACACCTTCATCAACAGGTGATGCTCACACGAGGCCAGTGAGAAATTTTTTATTTTTTGTTTATAATAACACTCCTTTATTATTTTAGACCAAAAAACAATTATAAGACTCTTATCCAAATTAAATGTTATCAGAATCGGAAAAATATTAACCCACTTGAAATATTGGATTATTGATTCGAACCAATCCAATTACCAATTCGTTGACTTCCAGTTAGACCTGGCGGAATTCTGATAACACTGCGAATTATTATTATCTTGGAATTCCAAACGAAAAATTAAAGATTTTATCTGAAGTCAGTTCGGTTGCAGTACAGTACTTATTCGGTTTCCAGTTAGTTGGTGAAATAAATTCGTATTCGTATTGAGTTATTGACAATTGCATAATCATAAGTCTTTTAATTTGGTCAACATTTTTCTTTTACCGTTTTGCCCATCCTCGACGACAAAATAATAAATAAATAATTTTTCAATCTAATAAAGTCATTCTGAATTTTCTTCCACATTAACAGAACACACATTTTCATTTTAGTGAACAACATGTTGAATTTCAACATCTTAATGAAAGTGTAATTACCCTAATAATGAATGCAACCATCACATTAGTGTGAGAGTTGAAGAGGCTAAAAAATTAACCAGAAATTTCCCAACCAAAGCATAAAGAAGACAAAGGCATATATACCCAAATTTGCACCGAACTACCAGAAAAGGCATTATTGCAAATCGGGGAGGATGTGGACACGTCAACTGCATTCCAATGCCATTGCCTCCCTTAAAAGCTCCTTCTCCGACTACTCAAATTCACCACCCCACCACCACTGGTATACTTCAAATCCACGCGCCTACTATATTATATATTTTTAAGAATAAGTTATATTAGTTAGGCTTTAATATTTCCACAATGAATGTAGATAATTCTGAAAATAACATCGTTTTAAATTGAAAAATTAAAAAATTATAATAAAAAAAGCTATTATAATCCTGAAATAAATTATAATTACAAAAATAACTTGATTTCTATCCTAAAACGACGTCGTTTTAGGCTCAATGTAGATAACTTATCTACATTAACTACAGAAAAAATGAATCATTTTACCTATTTTTTTAATTTTTTTTTGCCTATCACTTTTGAGCATTGTTAGATCAGAATCTGTTACCTTTATCATTTTTCTCTCTTATTGAAATTCTGATCTAATAATGTTGAAAAATAATAGACAAAAAAAATAAGTAGAATAACTTATCCCATATTTTTTCATTGCATATATCCGAAAACAATTTAATTGCATCATTTTTTAATCAGAAAGACAACATAAGAAGGACAATTTAATTTAAGATGTAGGGAAGAGCCTCCCCACTTAAAAAACAAGTTGGTATTATTATGAACAAATATATTTTAAGAGTTTGCTTTGGTATTCTTGCAAACAAATTATTATCATTTTTGACATTATTATTTTTAATGTATATTTAATAACTCTTATCTTGAGCGTGTAACTTTTGAATAATTTTGTAACAAAGAATTATAAATATGTAATTTTTAATAACAACATTATAACTTTTTAATTAATTTTATAACAGAAGAAGATGAGTTTCAATTTTTTAATATAAATTTTCTGTTTTTTTTTTTTTACCTTTTTCTGTATTTTTTGTTTATTTCTTATTATTTTGTTCTCCATCATAATTTTATTTCTCAATCACCTTTTTTATCACTATTTTCTCTCTCTTTCATGTTTTTACATTTTGAATTTCTTACGTGACTCTCATTATATATAAATATAAAAAATTCTGTTACAAATTAAAAGAGATGTTTTTACTTTTTAACTTATTTAAGTTATAGTCTCTTATAATGTTATAGTCTCATAATCATCTTGTCTGTTTTGTCTTGTAGCTAGGTGTTGTGATTAATATTTTTAGATAGACAGATTGAATAATGTTGTCATCAAAAGAAAATTTTGTATTGGTTTTTATTATTATCTTTTATTTATATATATATGTTATAGTTGCCTGGTTGAAATTATAAGAATCCATGTACGAAGAATGAGAAAAGTTTTCGCTTCTTTACGGTTGGGTTCGATTTAGTTCATGTCCAGCCTCAAATACATATACGAGACGATGTGTATGTAAGTATGTAACATTATTTAGTTCATGTCCAGCCTCAAATAGTTATCAAATGATTCAATAGATGATGATTACGTTTACGAATTTCATTGTTAATAAAATTATTGTGTCATATTGGCAATGCAAACAGGGCATGAAGATTGTTTCCATCAATTTTTTCACTTCTCTTATACGTACGTATCATTTTACATATTCCATTACTACTTTAAGAAAAGATGCACGGCACGTGACATGCAAAGTTTTTGCAGGCCTATTGCATTGCATGTGCTTGACCATTTTAAAAAACAATGATAAACTTTGATCTGGACAAATAATAAATAATAATTTTATTACTATTTATAAGTATTATTTATAATTATAATATTATTATTATTATTATTTGTTATCTTAAGAAGGTATGGACAATGGATTTCCTCAGACTATGACACTTTTAACTCCAATCTAAAGAAAAAGAAGCATGGACCAACTTTCGGAATAACTGATAAAAAGCTGTAGCCATGTAGGAAACATCGAACAGTGAATATGAAAATCCGAAAGTGGATATTTTTTGTCTCGATTTCTTTATAATTTTTTTTTTTTTTTCCAGATACTTGATATATAGGTGGAATTCTCAATCTACAGGATTTTTTGTTTTTGGGTGACGGTTTACATGATGTTTTTGATACTCAAGAAATTATTATGTTCATTGAAATATATATTATTTGTGTACCAATATATATATCATTTTCGGAAAATATATTTTAGTGAATGAGTTACTAGCTAGTTTTCGCCTTGAAATTGGACAAGAATACTTTTATGTGTAATTAATTAATTTAAACCTAATTTGAGGCTAATAAAAAATAAACAAAAAAAATAACATGTGTATATAATTGATTTAAAAGTTATTTGTAAGATCATAAAATTTGTATAAATTATTAAAACTACTTTATGCCATAAATTACCGATAAGGAAGTGAAACAATTTAAAACAGCAACTGTTCGGGAGAAAATAAAACTTTTTTTAAATAAAAAAAAATCTTAAAAGAAATAATGGAATTATCCAAATTTAAATTTATCAAACCATCATAGGGTATTAAAAGTCAAAGAATAAGTTTTTTTTCCTATTTATTCAACCATACGGTCAAAAGAAAATAAATGTTTTCTTTAAGTTTATTATTACTTTTTTGGTTAACAGCATAACCTTGAATGGATGCTGCGTGACACGCACTGAGCCGGTCCTGCGTGTGACAAGAAACCTTTTCCTTTTAAGAGAGTGTTTACACTTTCCATTACGTTTTCTTTCTTCTATATAGTCTCTCTCTTTTTCTTTCTCTGTTTCAGCTTTGAAGGTGAATGAGATGGTTCGGCTTGCCACATTATCAGAAGAACCCATCAACGACGAAGAAGATGGAAGTGGAACCACCAACACCTCAAAGAAATGGCGCAACTGGTTCAAGTCTCACTTCTTCAACAAAAAGCCTAACCTCAAGATCCTCCTCAGTGTTCTAGCTTGCCCTCTCTTCCCTGTTCCTCCCCACCCCAAATCACCCATCAATGAGGCAAGCCAACCCATATCTCTATAATTAATAATTACTTTCTCTTTTCTTTCAAATCTCTGTTTTTTATTTTCTCTTATCTTTTTTTAATTTGTTTTCTAAGTGTTTTGCAAGCATGATAGCTAGCTAATAGCTTCCTCCATCAGTTTTTGTACAAGAATTTAGTTCTATTAGTGAACAGTGTGTGTTTTCTCCATCCAATAAAAGTGTTGTAACTTGTAAGGGGTATTATTATTTTGGTCACTTTCTGTACAATTTTCATGTGTGCCAGTGCCACCAATAACTAAGTTGTCATTCCCAACCCAACCCCACTAAGGTTTTCTTTTCTTTTCTTTTCTTTTCTTTTGCACCAAAAGCAATGTGCCCTCCTGTCCTTGTTACCATGTGCATCTGATTTACACTAAAAGATTGAAACTTTTTCTTCCTATCTATGAGTATTCATTGCTAACGTTCAGTCTCTTTCTAGAACAGTAGAAAAAAAAAAATGGGGCATTGCTCTTATTAATTGTACTTGTGATAGGTGTCATCGTCGGCTCAGTATATTATCCAACACTTCACGGCGGCGACAGGGTGCCGGAAGTTGGAGGGGACGGTGAAGAGTGTGTTCGCGACGGGGAAGGTGGCAATGGGGGTGGTGGATGAGTTTGGAGGAGTAGTCTCGGAGAGAGGGTGCTTTGTGATGTGGCAAATGTTTCCTGACAAGTGGCAGATTGAGCTGGTTGTGGCTGGTCACAAGGTTGCGGCTGGTAGTGATGGCACCGTCGCTTGGCGCCATACCCCTTGGCTCGGTGCTCACGCCGCTAAAGGTGGCGTGCGCCCTCTTCGTCGCGCTGTTCAGGCAAGTTCATCATCATCACAATCATCATATCTTGTTTTTAAGATTTCTAACTAGTGGGAGCTGAGTTTAGGGAATTAGAGTATGGATTTGATTTTACCTCGTGTTATTTTTTTGAAGAATTTAAAGACTTAATTCTGAACACATCTTGTCCTCGGTGATATATCACGTGGTTTATAAAAGAAAAAAAGGATTTCTATCTAATGGGGTGTCGTTGGTTTGCTTGTATGTTTGTTAATGTTCTTGTTCCTAGGTAGTACTTTTTTGTTTGGCCAAGAGAGGTTTGTTGATATTTAATTCCGAAATTGTTGGTGTTGTTTTTGTGCATTTCTTAAATGTTTTTTTGGATCCAAGTTCTACTTTAGACAACTCAATTTGATTTTTTTAATTACGAAAATATGTTGTCACCCCTCATTATAACAACAGATGGGGTTAATTATGACCTAACTCTTTGGCTCCGTGAATGAATTGGTTCAATCTTTTTTTTGTTAAATAATAATATGAGGAATGAGCCCCCTTTTAGGAATGGGTTATGGGGTCGGGTTTGGAATTTCACATTCCTGTTGGAAAAAAGGATTAATGATATCTATATGATGTAACTGATGTGGACTGCTAATCAAATATCTTTTTAATTAATACCGAACCCTGTTTTTTAATGGATCTTTGTTTCCCTACTAAATACATAAGAGTTGAACTTGATGTTGCTATAAAATTTCAAACTAGTTTTCAGGGGAAATGTTGGGTTTTGGCCATATATATGGTCCACTCTGCAACTATGAACTATGAAATTGAAATATATAGTATTGTGACTTGACTTGATCGGTATCTAAGATGGGACCTATTCTGTTTGCCACTGGTGAGTGTGAGTGATGTGAGTGGTTATGTTTTTGTCACCATTAAATGACAATTTGGTTGTACGTGTTGTAGGGACTAGACCCTTTGGCAGTATCTGGTGTGTTCAGTGCTGCGCAATATATGGGAGAAAAGCAAATCTCAGGCATTGATTGTTTTGTGTTAAAGCTATCAGCTGATCAGAAAGACCTGGTTGACCGGAGTGATAACACTGCTGAGATGATCAAGCATGTTACATTTGGTTACTTTAGCCAAAGAAATGGGCTATTAGTGTACCTAGAAGATTCTTCCCTGACCAGGATTCAATCACCTGGGACACACCCCACGTACTGGGAGACCACTATGTCAACCAAAATTGATGATTATCGTATGGTGGATGGTGTGAGGATTGCACATGCTGGAAGATCAACGGTCTTTATCACACGTTTTGGGGATAATCTAAAGGCAGGCTCTGCCATCACACGGTTGGAAGAATCGTGGACCATTGATGATGTTGCATTCAACGCCCCAGGATTATCCATGGACTACTTCATACCACCCAAGGAACTCCAGAAAGACTATCCACAGGAACATCTAGATTGGAAGTCACCCTTGCATACATGATGTGAAACCTTTTACCCTTTTGTTTTTCTTTTTTTGCTAGACAAATGGTTGATGCTAATTGTTACTTAACATATATAGAAAGTTTGTGATTGTATTGCTGATTTTGGGTATAACAGATGTCACCTATAAATTGTGTCTCTGGAATTTGATTTTTAGTTTCTTCTACCAGCCTGGATTCGTGTCCAGTTTGTTGGGTGCCTTTTGGCTGCTTAGAGATTAAGATTGTGTTTGAGAATTAGGAAGGAAAAAGAAGAAGGGAATAGCACGAAAAAGTTAACGAAATGAAAAGAAAAAGTAAACTCTTAGATGTTACAAATTTATAGGAGAAAGTAAATGAGGATTGATTATATGGAAAATCATTCTCTCATTTTATATGAGTTATCTTATGCCACTACCATATCGAAAATAGTGTTATCATTTTTATTTTATTTTAATAGATGATGAACTCACCATATTATATGTCTATAATAGGAGATATTTATCTCTAATAACATAAGAAAATTGAACCCCTAATTATATATACATTTATGATTTTATTCTTTTTTAAGTTAATGAAATATTCTTTTTCATATATATTTTTTTAAAAAAAATCAACTCAAAGACAAATATGATTAATATGCAACATTAATCATATTAGTAAAGTCAAGGAACTGTTACACTAAAATATGAATTTGGTGAAAAAGCATAGCGCTTGAATAGGAAACGTCATGGAATTATTATAAATATGATTAAAATTAAACTTTTAAACTTGAATAAGAGTAAATAAGTAAATTAAATTGTTATTCTCAAAAACTTTTTAAGTTGCAGCTTATGGGGTGCCCACGCCCTTTGTTCCCCTATATTTTCTAGCAAAAAATACAACATCGAAAACCTCCACTTACCCTACCAAGATGATTAATCAAACAAATGAAATAAAGAGAGCACCCGCCATCTCAGCTTTGGTGTGAAGGAGCGGCAAAAAGAAAGCTGTTATGAGATACTCTAACATTTCATAATAAAAAACAATATTTTTAGTACCTAACAACTATCTCCTTAATCCTAAATCCACCCTACCTTTCTTCGCCCTTCATATTTATCTCTCATTCTCTTTATATTAAACCAACCAAACCCATCTTTTTTTGTTACAGAGCTGAGTTTGTTTACTTGTTTTTCTACTTGTTCAGAAACAAATTAGCTAAGGTTTCAAGTCAACCATTTTTAACTGCATCATATTTTAGTTAGCATCCTTTCTCTTGAACTGGGTTCTCATTTTCCAAGCTAGTCATGGGGGCTTTTTCCCTAAGTTCTTCCTCAATTATACCCAATAAACTAAATAGAGTGCATGGAAATAATGACTGGTGCCCTACAAAGAGAAAGACAAATGTTGTCCATTGTCAAGGTGGTGGAAATGTGATCAAGTCCTCTGGGCTTTCTTCTATATTAACAGAAAGACCAACATTGGTTAGCACAGATCACACCACAACTCTAATGGATCCAGGAAGCTTGGTCTTGTCCCAAAATGGGAAAAGCCAGGCAGAGATTGTAGTAAAGGATTTGGGAACTTATGGTGGACCAACATCCACCACATTAGTAGGATTGGAAGATGGCATAGGAATTGTCAAATTTCTAAGAGGGACGAAATTTTTTATTACTGGTGCAACTGGGTTTCTAGCCAAAGGTATTGGTCTAAGAGTATAAACATTTTTGGAAACACTGTTTTTGTGCATCTTGAGCTTTCCTCCATGCTTTAACTGCTTTAAACTGTGATATATAATGTTATCAACAAAAAAAAAAAAATGTGATATATAATTAACACTTATTTACGGTCAATCCAGTTCTTATTGAGAAGATTTTAAGGACAGAACCGGATGTGGGCAAAATGTACCTTCTGATCAAGGCAGAGAATAAAGAAGCTGCAATAGAGAGATTGCAGAGTGAAGTATGGTTTTATGACATTTTCTTTATTCCACTTACATTTGTCAAATTTTATGGCTTTACTTTCTGATGTTATGTTAAAACTTTGTTTGTTTGTGGTTTAGATCATAAATACAGAGCTTTTCAGATGCCTTCGACAAATCCATGGAAAATCCTACCAAGCATTTATGTTGAGCAAGCTAGTTCCTGTTGTAGGCAATATTTGTGAATCCAATCTTGGATTAGATGAGGATTCTTCTGATGTTATTGCAGACGAGGTAGATGTTATTGTAAATTCTGCGGCTAATACAACATTTGATGAAAGGTTAGCTTCTTACTCTCTAAATTGCTTCTCCATCCATGATGAGTTCCCACATTTTCTTTTGAGTTATAGTGTAATAATTTGACTATTGTCAAATCTCAGATATGATACAGCTATCAACATAAACACCAAAGGGCCCTGCCGCCTTATGGGCATTGCCAAAAAGTGCAAGAAACTTAAGCTCTTTCTGCAAGTTTCAACAGGTAAAAAGATAAGAAAGAGTTGTTGGGAAAAAATCAGAAATCCATGTGCTGAGTGTGAAGAATACGAAGAAAAATTTACTATTGATAGAAGTAGAGTGACATTGTTTAACCAAAATACTTGCTTGTAATGTGCAGCTTATGTAAATGGACAAACGCATGGTAGAATCATGGAAAGACCATTTAGCATTGAAGATTGCACAGTAAGAGAAAACTTTATGTCTGAAGTATCACCAAAAATCCTTCCAACATTGGACATTGAAGGCGAAATAAATCTCGTTTCAAATTACAAGGGAAACATTGAACACAACTTTTTAGCTCAAGAAATGAGAGAGCTGGGTCTAGAGAGGTATTGGGTGTCCTCATTTTTTTAAAAATGATTCATTATTTTTCATTTTCCCGGCCTAAAAGTATCAAGAAAGACAGTGAATTCATAAAGCTTCAGCCTCATATTGATTTTGATCTCACAGATTATGGACGATTCTTAAAATTACATAGTCTAACTTGATGTAAAGTTATTGTCTAAACAGGGCCAGAAGATATGGGTGGCAAGATACCTATGTGTTCACGAAGGCTATGGGAGAAATGATGATAAACAAATTGAGGGAGGATATTCCAGTCGTTATAATTCGACCCAGTGTTATTGAGAGCACTTTTAGAGAGCCATTTCCTGGTTGGATGGAAGGAAATAGGTATATATCTCCCTCAAAAAGAAAAATATCTCTATGAATAACCTACAAATTGCAGTAACATTTGTATGATAGAACCAACATTTTTTCTTTTATCTTACAGGATGATGGATCCTATAGTTCTCTGCTATGGCAAAGGGCAGCTTACAGGTTTCTTGGTAGACCCAAACGGAGTACTCGATGTGGTAAGTGAGGCATAACAGTTAGATTCTTTAACATAGCCCGAATTTTACTGTTTTCTGACCTGAAGGTTCCATAATTTGAAAAGGAAAAGAAAGCAGACAATTCATAAATTTCATAGTTTGGTTAATAATTATTACACTAACAAATGCTCATTAATATGGACCTGAGAGATCACAGGTCCCAGCAGATATGGTAGTTAATGCAACCTTGGCAGCAATGGCAAGGCATGGAATGACCCAAAAGTCAGATATAAATGTGTACCAAATTGCTTCATCTGTGGTGAATCCTCTAGTCTTCCAAGACCTGGCAAGACTGCTCTATGAACATTACAGCTCCTCACCATGCATTGACTCAAAGGGTAGGCCAATTCAAGTTCCACTGATGAAGCTGTTCAGCTCCACAGAAGAATTCTCAGATCACCTTTGGAGAGATGCCATTCATAAAAGTGGCCTGACGGATATGACTCACTCAAAGGAGGTGTCTCAAAAACTTGAAAATATCTGCAGAAAATCAGTGGAGCAAGCGAAGTACTTGGCCAGCATTTATGAGCCATATACATTTTATGGTGGAAGGTTAGATACTAATTGAACTCACTCTTCAACTAGTGGCAGCACTAGTAACTCGTTTGTAGGAAGCAAAAAATGAAAACTCAATTAAACATCTTTTGAGGAAAAAAAATTAATGATTTAGAACAAACAACTTGATGATGCAGGTTTGATAACAGTAATACTCAGAGATTGATGGAAGGCATGTCTGAAGAAGAAAAGAGGAAGTTTGGTTTTGATGTAAAGGGTATAGATTGGAAAAATTACATTACCAGCGTCCATATACCGGGTCTAAGGAGACATGTCATGAAAGGAAGAGGAATGGGTAGTTAGTGTGCCATGTCACAAACCAGCCAAGCTTTGCAACTAATTGCAATAAAATATATATACTTTTCCTTCTTTCCAGGGATCTTATAGAGTATAGTGTGGCAAACTGGCCACAACAGCAAGGGTAACCTTCACTATCCGTATTGTAATTTTTAATTAATCCAAATTTCTGGAATCAATTACTCCCCACTTCGCCTGTATACATGCTCTTCGGATAAATGTCATTGTTCATTATATATTGTCATATTAGTGGCCATGATAAATGTCCTTCCTAGGTTCATAGCATTTCTCCGATGGAATGCTTTTTGCTGTGCTTAGAGTTTAGGACTAGAGAAAAATTCCCTATTCAAAGACTTTACACATACACATACCTATCGGATTTGAAGGTCCTATATTTTGTTTAAAAAATAATTAGCATTGAACAGCTGTTCCAGAGACAAATTATTCCTTCACTTAAACTTCTCCTTTAATTCATCAAACTAACATTCAAACATTTTAAAAAATGCTCATGCTCTGAGATGACCATCCATTTAAAACAGATGTGCCTCAAGCATTATTCATAAATCAGTAGAATAATACAGTAAAGCATATTAAGGAGGCAAATAGAACATAATTTTGCATTTAGAATTAAACAAGATAAAACTTAAGTCAGATAGTTCACAAATTTTAAGGCTGTTTCCAATGAAAAACAAAACAAAACAAAGCAGTCCAGAAAACACAAGGAAAGTAAAGACTAGTAACCGCCTTTAAGATCATTGACGACATCATAAGGAATTGGAGTAACAGTCTCCAATGTAGCACCTTCAACCATGAAACCTGGTTTAGGACCTTGAGGCTGTCTCTTGGTGCTGATGACCTCACCTTTAGCCTTGGCCTCAGCCTTCAATTGATCATTCTTGATCTTCCTCAAACGGAACTCCTCAGTGCACCTCGATGGCATAACATGCTCCACGCGTACGTGAATTCTCTTCCTAATTATTCTGTTCCCAACCTGGATCACACACAGACACATTATTAATAAAATAAAATTGGGAACGGGAACAAATAAGTAACTAAATCAAAAGGGACACAGCACAGCACAGCACAAGGGGTTTAATGAGAAAACCATAGACACTAAAATTCATTATACCTGTTTGTTAACCTCAACACCAATAGCGCGTTTGGTGACATTCCAGACACGACCAGTGCGGCCATGGTAGAACTTGTGTGGCATGCCTTTGTGGACTGCGCCATTAACCTTGATGTCAACGTAATCACCAACGTGATAGGTCCTGAGGTAGGTCGTAAGGGCGATGGTACCCTTCTTCCTGAAGGGTCGAGAGAACGAGTCTCTGGTGCGGCATCTCACACCATGACCAGCAGGCATCTTTCCCAAACTAGGGTTTCTAATTTCATCTTTTGTTTATTATATATTGCATTACAGTTAACTTCTTTTTAATTTTAAGGGATAGTTATTCTACTTATTTTTTTTATGCCTACTTCTGCTTGTGGATAAGTTAATCATTATATCAGAATCTTAATTAATATTTTTTTTTAGATTCTGATATAATAGTATTAGAAAGTGATAGACAAAAATAAACATAAAAAAAATAATTAGAATAACTTATTCCTTAATTTAAACCAAAAATATTATAGGTCACTTTGATAACAATCCTCCCCAATATGAAGGAGTTTAAATTATGAGTTTCATGCAACACAAAAAAAAATAGGTGGGACTCATAAAAAAAAAAAAAAAAAGTGGGTCCCACTCACTTTTTTGTGTGTTACATGAGACAATTTATCTTATGTAATATGAGAAAAATAAAATCTTTAAATTATTAACGTTGGATCCGTTCTTAACTCTGGATTAATATATTAAAAACTTATAGTATTATTCATAAAAAACTTTTTTAATTTAAAATTAAATATTTTAAATTAATCATGCATATTTTTTTATAATTATAAATACTTTCCCTTTTTAAGCACGTTAGTAAGTTAAAAGATCTGAGTGACCAGTTCCATTAACCAAATTCAGATGCAACAGTTAATATTTGAAACCCACGGTATGAAATATTGGAAGTGGATCCTCTCACGTGGAAAAGTGGTCATATGGTCATGTTATTTGATCCTCAATTTTTTTTTTAAGCACGTTAGTAAGTTAAAAGATATGAGTGACCAGTTCCATTAACCAAATTCAGACGCAACAATTAATATTTGAAACCCACGGTATGAAATCTTGGGAGTGGATCCTCTCACGTGGAAAAGTGGTCATATGGTCATGTTATTTGATCACAACCACTCATTGGTAATGAGATAAGAGAAAGAAAAGAATGAGTGGTTGTGATCAAATAACATGACCAATTTTTCACACGAGAGAATCCACTCCCTGTAATATTAAAATCATAATAAAAATGCAAAAAAACTTGTCTGCATATGTTTAATAAAGACCCATAATATTGGAAAAAAATATTTTCCTATATCTCTTGTTATTTTAAAATGAGTCATTTTTGAAGTTGGGAAAAAAATATAAGATATTCTGAAATTTATTTTTCTTCAGTAACATAAATTTTATTAAAATATCCTTTATTTTTTTAATAAACATACAAATAAAACAAAATTGTATGTATTAATTTAAACAGTTCATAGACATTGCTTTTGGCTTTTTCACCCTTTTGTCCTCATTAATTATTTAATAACTATTTTGTCCTTTATTGTAAACTATCTACCAATCTGTCCCTCTTTAATCGATTAAATTGAATATTTAATCTATTAAATGGTCAAATGAAGATTTAATCGATTAAATCTTCAACTTAATCGATTAAATCTTCCTCTTTATCAGAAGAACAACCTTATGTATGAGAGATTTAATCGATTAAATAGGGAGATTTAATCGACTTAATCTTCAAGTCAACGATTTTTGCCTATTTTAACCATTTAATCAATTAAATTTTTGGCTTAGTCGATTAAAGAGAGGGACAGATTGATAAATAGTTTTGAATAAGGGGCAAAATGATTATTAAATAATTAATGAGGGACAAAAAGGTGAAAAAGCCCATTGCTTTTGATAGTAATAATGTAATATATATTATTTTTCTTCTTTAAGTTTTCAATCTTCAGAGAGAAAATATAAAGAATTACGAAAGGTATTGGTTCGGGTGATATAGGTTAAAGTCATTGTGAACTCAAAATATTTTCTTTGAAGAAATTAATTTCACTATAATATGAATATTTTCGGCTCCAACATAAAATCTTCTTACGAAGAATATCTATGATTTATAAATAAAAAAAATATAAAAGAAAAGCAATAGACATGGTGATTAAAACCTACAGAATTGCCTGTGGGTTGGTGCAAAACAGTCTAACGCATCAATTATTTCTGTCGGCAAATAATGATATGACATTGAATTCTATTTCTACTATATTAAAAGGAAAAGGGTTGGCTTTTATTGCATAGAACCATAGACCCACACCATAAATAAATAAAGGGAAAAATTATTTTTATTCTATAGGTGGTAACTTTTTTTCAAACACACCCTTTGATAACTATGACATTTTTCTTTTCTTTTCTTTTTATTTTTCAGATGGTGGAGCTCACAAATTTATCTCTATGATATGAGATAACTTATCTCTTTTAACATGAGATTAATAAAACCTATAAATAAAATCAAATAAGTCAATAACAAATACAATCAACTGCACATAAAAATGAACATTTCATTTTTTTACAAAAAATGGAAAAGTCTATGCAAAAAAATTGATTTACCATTGCGGTGTCTTGCTTGTGTCATGAAGCCCACAAATCATTATTTTGGTGGTATAAGTTGTCAGCATGTAGTACTTGTTAGTGCTATTACACCACTACTGATACCAGCAGGGACCAGAGAATTTATCCATCGAAACAATTGTTGTGTGCGCCGTGTGGTGTCTTTTTCAGTTTTATACCGGGAATGAAATTCTTATTAGCAATGTTAAAAAGCGAAACCACTAGTCAGTGGCAAACATAATTTGGGATAAAAGATAAATCTTTGCTATTCACGAGCAACCTTATTCCCCTCTCATGAAAAGGCAATATCTATAAAAGTAGTGAAAATAATCCTGCAGAACCAATCCTAAATTATTCACGGACTTGTTTAGTCTCTTTAGGCTGTAAAAGGGTGTTTTATTATTATTTTTAACTGTTATAATAATAAGTGTTTCTACTTTTCACCATTTGTTATTTCCTTCATAATTCATATGACTATTTTTCTTTTTTTGGAAACATATGACAATTTTTAATTATAATATATTTATTATGCTAATTTTTAATTATTATGTATAATTAAAAAATCTTAATATGTATATTTATCTATTGGCGTTTTGATTAATTGAAAAATCATTATAACATTTAATGGGAGTGGATCCTCTCATGTGGAAAAGTGGTCATGTGATCATGTTGTTTGATCACAATCACTCATTTAAAAATTATACATTTTTCTCTCTCTTATCTATCATCAATGAGTAATTGTGATTAAATAACATGATCACATGACCACTTTTTTCACATGAGAGGATTCACTCCCACATTTAATTGATACAATTGTTTTTCTTGAACATTTGAATTCTACCATCTTTTTTATCAAGCAATGAAAAGTTAGATAATTGACACATTCAAATAGATAATTCCAATATAATAATAAAAAAACAGTATGTCATTATGGTGCAAACTATACTAATCAAAAGTTTATGACCCAAAACATACAAAATTAAATTGAAGTAAGTGCGAGAAAGAAATGAAGTAGTTTTTTTATAAATTGATATATATATATATATATATATATATATATATATATATATGTGTGTGTGTGTGTGTGTGTGTGTGTGTGAAAGTGTTAAGAAGTGAGTATGTATTTATTCATGTTTATATATGCGAAACTATTTGCATCTATTAATTAATTATTTGTTTGGATCAAAGTTGTACAATAAATTTTTAACAGAACCAAAAATGGACTTTTACAAATTTTTTGGCTTGTATAAACCAGGAAAGGAAATAAGTGAAAAAATAAATATTCCAAGTCTTTATTATCAATTACAAAAGATTTTATCCGTTGAACTTGCTAGCCTTTTCTTAAGTTTTACTTGTTGAGAAATAAAAAAAAAAAACTCAAAAATGGATTCATTAATTAAATTAGTTTATCCTACGGCCCTAACAGGAATTCTTTGATAAAAACTTCATTCTTCTATAGTTCGAATTGATGGTATCCACCTATCTGTATATGGACCATAATAATCATGTAGAGGGATGGCCTAGTGGCTAAAGATAGCATTTTCGTTGAAGTAGTATATGTTTGATTCGGTTTAAGTAAGATTTTGGATTCAAGTTCTTGTGAATGCAAAAAATTTTTTTTGAAAGAATTAGTCCCGCCATGGTGTGGATGTTCTCGGCTCAAATCTCCCTTAAAGAATATACGTGATTTATTAAAAAAAATTAAAATTGTAATATAGGCTTTTTGTTTATTAAGGCCTTGAGGATTTGAGTGAGTAGCGGAGCCACTTTAGAATGAGCAAGTGTCTTGGCAATGACTATTTTTAAGAGAACTATGGAAATAATAACTTTATGTATGGCTTCCTCTATACCACTGACTGATTTTTTTCAAGTGTAATAGCCAAATGTAAAAAAATACAACATAAAGACTAGTCATGATACTGTTCACCGGCACAAAAAGCATCGGAACAACGCCATTTTGGCGCAAAAAACTCCAGAAGCATTAAATTGACTCAAGATATGCCAAAAATCAGTAAAATGGGACAAGATACGCCAGAAAACTAAAAAAGTGTAAATTTGATGCTGTTATTCAATAGTAGCATTAAAATAAACAAATATTAAGCTATTAAAATAATAAATAAATAATAAAATGATACATAAATATATGTAATAAATAAATAATATAGATAAACATACAACATCCACGTGGTGAAACCTATGAAACGTGTAAGATTTTTAGCAAAACAATCATAAGAAATTATATTTTTATTTGAAAAAGTAGCGATTATACGTAATAATTTGAGTTACTTAACATATGTGTGTGTTGTGACCACTTGACGGAAAACTGAGAAAGGGAACAAAAGAAAAGAAGGAGAAACAAGGAGTAAAAGAGAAAGAAAGAAAGGAATCGAGAGAAAAGATAAAGTAAAAAGAAAAAAAGGAAACAACAAGAGAGATGGGAAAGAGAGAGATAAAAGAAATAGGAATAAGGGTGTGCATGGTAACCATTCTGTTCCCTCACACTGTTTCTGAAAAGAAACAATTCTTTTCTATTTCTGTGCCTTGGAACAATTTCTGAGAAAAAAAGTGTGTTTGATAACATGTTTTATTTTTATTCCGAGAATGAGAATTGTGTTTGATAACACAACAAATGATAGAATAAAAAATCATTCCTATTAAG